TCTCAAGTCAGAACTGAGGTCACAAAAAGTAAGCAGTCTCAGAGCCCAATATGATCAGTCCACCAGGATCAAAATTAAAACTAAATATCGTTCCAGGGCAGGCTAACCGAGGCTAACCAATGAGCACCTGCATGTGTGTATGAGAATGGCCCTGACACCATTTCAGCCCAGATTTAAACTCCTGGCAGGAAAAGCTCGAGCTCAATTCTCGCACTGAATTAAAGAAAAGTGAGTGAGGGACTGCAATATAAGAGGGAAAGAAAGAGAAACTTTAAAACTGTTCAATTGTTATGATGTGTATGTTCTATAATCGTCTGAAACTGTTAAGTCATGATGTGAAACGGTTAACAAAGCTATTTTATTTATTTCTCTATTTTATTTTTAAATGCAGCCCGAGAGGAACATTACACATATCCACAGTATTTACTGTATATCTGTATAGTTCAATGTTCATTGACAATAAATATTGTTGTTTTTGAATTGTACTTTCTTTATCTGATTGGCAGTCAGTTGTTGATTACATGCAGACGTTGATACAGCTACAGGCTACTTCAATATATATCACACTAATTCATAAAGCAAGTTAGATATTTTGATGTTCCGGACCTTTGCATGGGGACATTTTCTCTAACTGGACCTCGTTGAATTTTAGTTGAATACCCCTGATGTAGACGAATGAGTGAATATGACAAGAAGAATTGTTGACATGCTGTGGTATATCTGCACATTTCATGGTGTATGTTTCAAAGAGTAGATCGGTTTGCTTTTAGCTGAAGGTGGGTGATTTCAACTTATTGACCATGAAAAACATACATTGAACATTTAACAATGGCCAAAAAAGCATTGCTTAAAACATGAATTCCTCTAAAAACTGTCCTTCATCTGTCATATAAAGATAAAATACACTTGGGGAACATATTACCTTGGGAACTAAAATATACACTCCTAAAAAAACATAAATGAATCCTACAAAAATGCCTTTTACTCACATAGTCATCCTTTTTGGAGCCGTAGGCCGCGATGTAGTCTGCATGTTTGTCCAGCAGCAGAGAGCTGGGGGCGTCAGGCTTAATGATGACATCTTTCACTTGGGTACCCTGACATTGAACACATCACCACAATACTTATCAGAATCAGAATCAAGTGTTTTACACGTTTACATAAACAAGGAATTAGCTTGTATGTATGGTGGTGCAAACATCAACAAAGAAAATATACAAATAATAACCTAAAAAGCTCAAAAGAAACTTAAGACAATGAATATATGACATACTACAGTGTATTATATATTTTAAACATGGGACATTTTCTAAATGACCTTGTTTCAATGATATACAACCACAACCTGCGTGTCAAGCCTGAAAATTACTAATATTATGTAGCGAAATTAGTGAAAATGAAGATAGTAAAGCAGTTGTTTTGGTATAATTTAGCTACATGCTAACTCTGATGCTAACCACTTTACTTAAGTTAGCTGTTTTCACAGGTTAGCGGTCAATGTAACGCTAAAGCTGAACATAACGGAGATAAGTGGACATGTTAATGCATTTCGGCTGTATTGTTATATAAAAATAAGCTGAGTAACGATGACATTTACAACATGATAACCGGTTACCATTCTGGAGATGTTGGCATGATCAGGCTACTTCTTCTTCTTCTGTTTTCTTTTTGGTGGCTGTCAAACTGGTTAAGATGCGCATTACCGCCACCTAGTGGGGACACGGGATTATGCAGGAGAAAATCACTTGGATGCTTTTAGAATCAGATATAACAATACAAAATCCCTTTTCGTTTCACACATGTACAATGGTGTTACATGAGTGGATATTATACATTGCACATGGTGGTGTTAACTTACAGTCTTTATTGTGTGGTGGTCAGTGGTGGAAAGTAACTAAGTACATTTACTCAAGTATTTTACTTGAGTATTTTTTTGACGTGTATACTTTACTTCAGTGCTTTAATTTTATGCTACTTTATACTTAACCTCACCTCAACCCAAACCACATGCCTGAAGTTCACATGAGATCAGACTGCAGTTTAATGCCACTGATAAAACATTCCCCTGATCTGAGGAACACAGTTTAGTGAGGAATCTAATGCTTTTAGTTTAATTTGCTGGAATCATAGACTGTATACATAAAGGGTGGGATATGAATGGGTTAAGAGGCAACACTGCTACTCTGTGGTTAATGGGGGATATGGCATGCAGACAGATATGGTGTCAGATGATATGAATGCCAATCCTCTGTTTAACAATTCTGAGCTTTAGTTTTCTTACAGGTAACAGGGGATTTGAACCTTTTCTGTTTAACCGTAAATGGTTTGTACCTAACATGTTGAGTATATAGTGCACAATCTCAAACACATACACTACAAATAAAATAGAATAGAATATAATTCCTGACCTGTCCGGTAGTGATTATCAGATGTGAAGCTGCTGGGAGTTTGTTCCAAGGGTGGGGCTGAAGAGCATTTACTATACATTGGAGCACCAGAGACAATCACTACACTTGATTTCTCTCCATGGGTCTGCACCGTGGAGTCCTTACATACAGAGTTAACAGTTTGAAGACAATGTATCCCAGATACTGTGTTACCTGACTGAAAGAAGTCATGAGGAAAAAGCATGGATTTTCAGTTTTTACTGCCTTGTGAATTCATTTTCAGGAGATATTTGTAAACCACCTCAGGTCTGGAAAATATACGACTGCAGGGGGTTTTCTTATTCATTAAAGAGCTGAAAAAAGACCACAGTCAAAGTGAAGTAGTCATGACCGCAGAAAGCATTGCATTTATTTGACAAAATTAGTTACTAGTTACTTTACAAATACAAATGATTAGATTAAACAAAATATGAATAAACAGTGATATATAATTATTATTATTATTATTATTATAAGATATCCAGCAGCAGTATATAAAGTAAACCTTGCTCAACTTTTAACAGCTGTGATGAACACATTAACGTAAACAAAATGAAAGAATCCAGTAATTCAATATAAGATTCTAAAATGGGACATTGGGCGCAGTAAGTACTTTTACTTTTGGTACTTTAACTATTTTTTGATTCCAATATGTCTCAGTTTATGCTGCTTTACTTCTACTCGACAGCTTTTAGTTACTAGTTAGATATAGATTATTATAAAACGGACAAGTAAAATCAAGCAATCTGATTGGTTCTTAGCCGTGGTATACTGAGCGTATACCACGGGTAGAATTGTAAGTTACTTTTCACAACAACTCAGTATCCCTCCGCGTCTGAGATAAACAGTATACAGTTGGGCAGTTTGCTTTTCAAACTGGAACAAGAAAGCAGCGGAGAAGTAACGGGGCAGAAACCCTCCTTTTTACGCAACGGTCCAGACATAGACATCAAACGGCAAAAACATATTCAGTGTGCAGTTCCTTTGGCATTAGGGCAGGGATATTTAGATACTTTCCAAGGTTTGACATAATGAATTGTGCTACTTTTAAAGCAAGCAACCATGTTTTCAAATCTGTAATCAAAAAGGTCCGCAAAAACATTTAAGATTAACTTCGACCTCCGGGGGGGTCTTACTATGGAGGAGTGGATTGAGGAGTGCCTATCTCCAGAACAAAAAGCACCTAAACGACGACATGCAGAGCTACGTGAAGAGCAGGTAGACCAACTGGAAAAGGATCACCATTCAAAAGCTTTCTGATGCGGGTCTTGAAACAAAGCAGAGAAATTATGACCGTTAGTGGCCACAGGTGCGAAAGCTCTCTCCAGAGCTACTGGAAGCCGAATCTCGGGGACCGGAGAAAGTGGAGCAATATTCTCGCCACGCAAAGCAACAGCCTAGAACAACCTCAGCCTATACAAGTAACCACGTAAGCCATGCTACTGATGCTGGACAGTTTTTCAGTGGGTGCACAATAAACGGCAACATACAAATTAATGTAAATAAATAGCCAAATAATGGATCAACGCTCTCTGTCTAATATGTTCGCTAGTTGTTGTTAGTGTTGTTGCATAGCAACCACCTCGCACTATGTTTCGTGCAGAAGGCAACAGAGGGACTATTTTATTTTGAACATCATTATTTACTAATAAAAACTATTTAAATTAGAGTGTGTATTTTTCTTTCATATTGCCACACTTGGTAACCGTTTTATAAAAGCAATAGCTCACTTCAGGCCGTGATATATGCTCATTATATCACAGCTAAGGGGGTTGTCGACCCTCCGCTTCGCGTCGGGCCGAACCACGCCCCTTAGCTGTGATATAATGAGCATATACCACGGCCTGTCGTGAGCTATTGCTTAAGTAGATCATTCAAAATATAAATCAGTTATTAAATACACTTTGACAGATATTTATAGGATAAGATATCCAGCAGCAGGACATACAGTTGCTCAAATTAGCTCTACATTTACTAACTGTGATAAAACACATCAATAATCATTATAGTAACTCAATATATATATATACGATTCTGAAAAGGGCCATTATGCATAAGGAGTACTTTTACTTTTGGTACTTAAAGTATATTTTGATACCAATGCTTTTGTACTTTTACTTGTAGTATTTCTACTTTAACTTTAGTAGAATATCTGAGTACTTCTTTCACCACTGCTACCATGAGTGTGGAGCTGTGTGCTACAAAAGCCTGAATTTAAAACAAATATTTTACAGCTGAAGACTGTTTTCAAATGTAGAGCAGGTTGTAAGCGAGGCTCCGTTTGTGAATGAGGAAACAGTTCAGAGTGTCAGCTCCTCCTGCTGGAATGAGTCAGAGTTTGATAAGCCCTCCCTCTTCTTCCTGCTCTCAGACACAGCCAGCTCCACTCTGTATGTCCTGGCTCCTCCCCTTTAGATCCACACTGAGGAGGATGGGTGTAACCAACATGTGGGTAAAGCACAAGAGCTGATAGGCCACATTCACTGCACACACCCATGCTGTTCAGATCACAGCTCACATAGTTTCAGGTTTCAGGAAGTGAAACTCAGACACTCGCTGCCAGTGAGAGGTGAAATGGCGCAGAAAGGAGTTCAGCTGGACCGGGAAACCTTCTCTTGTTCGATCTGTCTGGATCTACTGAAGGATCCGGTGGCTATTCCCTGTGGACACAGCTACTGCATGAAGTGTATTAAAGGCTTCTGGGATGGAGAGGATGAGAAGAAGATCCACAGCTGCCCTCAGTGTAGGCAGAGCTTCACACCGAGGCCTGTCCTGCTGAAAAACACCATGTTAGCAGCTTTAGTGGAGGAGCTGAAGAAGACTGGACTCCAAGCTGCTCCTGCTGATCACTGCTATGCTGGAGCTGAAGATGTGGCCTGTGATGTCTGCACTGGGAAAAAACTGAGAGCCTGTAAGTCCTGCCTCGTGTGTCTGGCCTCTTATTGTGACAAACACCTCCAGTGTCATAATGAATTTAATAATGTATTGAAAAAACACAAGCTGGTGGAGCCCTCCAAGAAGCTCCAGGAGAACATCTGCTCTCGTCACGACGAGGTGATGAAGATGTTCTGTCGCACTGATCAGCAGTGTATCTGTTATCTCTGCTCTGTGGAGGAACACAAAGGCCACGACACAGTGTCAGCTGCTGCAGAGAGGACTGAGAGGCAGAGAGAGCTGGAGGGGAGTCGACTAAACATCCAGCAGAGAATCCAGGACAGAGAGAAGGAGGTGAAGCTGCTTCAGCAGGAGGTGGAGGCCGTCAATGGCTCTGCTGATAAAGCAGTGGAGGACAGTGAGAAGATGTTCACTGAGCTGATCCGTCTCATGGAGAAAAGAAGCTCTGATGTGAAGCAGCAGGTCAGATCCCAGCAGAAGAGTGAAGTGAGTCGAGTCAAAGAGCTTCAGGAGAAGCTGGAGCAGGAGATGGCTGAGCTGAAGAGGAGAGACGCTGAGCTGAAGCTGCTGTCTCACACAGAGGATCACAACCAGTTTCTGCTCAGCTACCCCTCACTGTCAGCCCTCAGTGAACCTACACACTCATCCAGCATCAACATCCGTCCTCTGAGCTACTTTGAGGACGTGACGGCGGCCCTGTCAGCAGTCAGAGACAAACTACAGGACGTCCTGAGAGAGGAATGGACAAACGTCTCATCGACTGAAGTGGATGTTTTACTGTCAGCAGCAGAGCCCACCACCAGAGCTGGGTTCTTCAAATATTCACAGGAGATCACACTGGATCCAAACACAGCATGCACACTGCTGTTATTATCTGAGGGGAGCAGAAAAGCAACAAACATGAAACAACATCAGTCTTATTCTAGTCACCCAGACAGATTCACTTATTGTGTTCAGGTCCTGAGTAGAGAGAGTCTGACTGGACGCTGTTACTGGGAGGTGGAGTGGAGAGGGGGAGACGTTTCTGTAGCAGTCGCATACAAGAATATCAGCAGAGCAGGGGGTGGAAGTCTATTTGGATACAATGACAAATCTTGGTCCTTAGATTGTAACCAAAACAGTTTTTCATTTCGTGACAACAATATCAAAACTCCCGTCTCAGGTCCTCTGTCCTCCAGAGTAGGAGTGTACCTGGATCACAGAGCAGGTATTCTGTCCTTCTACAGCATCTCTGAAACCATGACTCTCCTCCACAGAGTCCAGACCACATTCACTCAGCCGCTACATGCTGGAGTTTGGCCTGGTTATGTTGGAGACACAGCTGAGTTTTGTAAACTGAAATAGCCTGAAGTCATTTGAGGAACTCTTCTACTTCTTAAACTCATTGTGTGTCCATCATTGTTGCTGAGAGCTGATTGTTCATGTCTTCACTGCACAGAGACCAGCTGTCAATCAAACATTATGGGATGTGCTTTAACATCTTCTCCTGAGTTGTTCTGTAGATGTTGGAGTTTCTTTAGGCGGCGCTCCTTCCTGTGTCTGTTTAGCCATGGAGGCTGTCACTGCTCAGGAGGATTTCTGTTAACCTCAACTCATATTTCTCTGCATGGAAATGTAAACTATGCTCTAAATATTTGTTGAATATCGATATTGATGTATTTGTATGTTGTTGTTTCTCTTGTAAAGCATGAGAGAGAGAAAGCACCAGAGCTTCTTTCATTGTAGGTATTTTATTCTAAATGTCTTTTATTTTTGACTAAGTCTCAATGTGTTGAATGCATCAATGAAAGTTTGAAGAAGGAAATAAAACACATTCAAAGAAAAGCTAACAGGTTGAGTTTGTAATAAATGGTGTTCCTATGTTCAAGATGTGAGATGAGTGCCACATTTACATGTCTGTACAAAATAAAATGTTGGAGTTTTTCTTGTTAATAAAAGAGCTAAGAGGACACAAGTGAAAATCTCAGTCTTTGTTTGTAATCTTAAAATGAATGATCTCTCCTCTCCAGCACTAAGTTGAGTTGAATTTTTAATACATGTAGTTCTTGTTTTACTGCTACGTCCCCAATAAGCTCTAGGACAAAAAAGGAGACGGTAACACACGACAACAAATAACATTCAGAGAGTCGGGGGGGAAAGTGAACACAAGTGCATTTATTTACACCAAAGAATGGAGAGGACGAAACGTCTATGGAAGAGGGTTAGGAACATGTGGAGAAATGTGAGATCTGAACTAAAGTGATATTTTTTTTTATGTTTCAAGATTTTAGTCAGAATATTGAGAAACAAGTCAGAATTCAGAATATTTTTAATAAATCTTTTTCTTAAGAACATTTTTTTTCTGAAAATCTCAGAATTCAGAATAAATATATTTTTTTATTCCTTTTTTTTAATGAAATTACAGAAATCTGAGATTAAAGTTAGGAAAAAATCACTTTGGTCAGACCTCAACATGTTCTTTACTAGTGAAAGTCAGAATTCTGATTAAAAAAAAATGTTTTACAAAAGAAATTCAGATTTTCAATTTTTTTTAAAGAAAATCTCAAATCTGACTTTTTCTTAAAATATATTTTATTTATTTTCATGAAAACCTTCAGAATTAGTTTTCATAGATCTGAGATTTAAGTAAGAATTTTGATTTATTACTCTAAAGAAAAAATCAGTTTTGGTCAGGTCCAAAAGATAAATCCACATGTGGTCCTAATCCTCTTCTGTATTTCAGAAAAGCAGAAAAGCATTGTTACCAGGATGAGAGAGGATGCTAGATCTGCCTGAAACTGTCTCCTGTTCAGCATCTCCTGCTTTGGCATCTTTAGAGCTTTGCAGAAATGACATCCTCTGTGATATCTGGAGCAGAGAAATCAGTATTGGGACTGATCAAATATTTTTTCAGCCAGCGATACCTGTCACGGGGCTTGGTGTGTTTATTTGGTTGGGGCTCGATGTCCACATAATCACTGACTGGGCGGCCATTGGGTTCAGATAAGAGATAAGATAAGATAGCACTTTATTGATCTCAATTTGGGACATTGTTGTGTTGCAGCAGCATAAAAGACATGGCATTGTACAATAACGATTAAAAAAGACTGGAAATAAACAAGAAAGTAGAAAATATACATGTTGACTTTACACATTAACAATGACAAAAACAAAATATAAAACAAGTTATTATATGAACATAAGTATATGAGGGATGGATTGTTGTTGGTTTTCTTTGTCCACTTGTCCACAGGCATCTTCTTCTGCCTCTTCTTCACTCATAGCAGTGTCACTGTCCTCTGATTCCATCTCAAAATCACTTTTTGGATGGCAGCAGTGGTCGTTGGACGCGGGGGATCGCCGTTCCCCCACTTTCTTTGAAGCATGATTTTTTTTGAATAGTCTAATAAATATAAAATCATTGCCAGTGTTATCAGTTGCAAGTGTGTATTTGTTGTAATAATGACGAAAACATTATACATTTCACAATAATTATAATAAAAAAATAAAAACGATTTCCTTAAAAAAGTATCCGTCCAGATTCAATATTGTTTGCAGAGCCGGCCCGAGCGTGTCGTTGTGTCCCTGAGACACTTCACCCCAAATTGCTCCTGTGGGGATTGCCCACAGTATTGAGTATGTAAGTCGCTTAGGATAAAAGCGTCTAACAATTAACATGTAACTAACACTGACTTTGGACCCCCCTGTGGCCCCCCTGAAAATTAAAAATTAAAAAAAGTTTATGATTAAACGATGTTTTGGCTGACGGAATAGGCGGAACTAACACTATTTGTCATTCTAGTCAGACCCAGCGTAAAAACTGTAACTATAAGAATCTGAAATAAATATGTGTACCGAAACAAATACCAATAACTGTATTGCATTGTTTTCTTATGCGCAATTACTTCATACTGTCTTTGTCTTTTTCGCCCTGCATTTATTGTGCCCCCCTCAGAAAATAACTGGCCCATGGCCCCCCAGTCAAATTGGTCTAGAACCGCCACTGGTCATCCCAAACAATGCCACAAGTGCGCACGCGCGCAGTGCACTCACCAAACGGGCAGACATGTCTACAGAAACTACCGGTATGCTTAGTCCTACTGTAGTTACCGTACTGCAAAAAGCAGACGGCGCTGCTCTCAACACACACACAGACTCAAAACCATGGACACACCGGCACATAAGTTACATATGTAGTGCCGAGAGAAGGGAGACGGAGGCGGTGCATCGAAGGTGCAAATCTCTCTTTATTGGGGAGCAGAAATCGACGTGCTGTCGGGTTGCAGGAAAGAGGAGAAGAGAAAGTGAAAGAGGAGGACACACAGTAGGTACCCCGGAGGTACCGTCAACATATGTGTCCGGGCGGAAACAATACCCCCAACCTGTAGTTCCATGATTGGATTATGTAACCCCAGTGTATGCATCAGTGATCACTACACATAAACAATTTATAGGCGTAAGTTGCATAAATGCTTGAGCTAGGGTATTGCAACTCAGACAGCGCTGCTTCTCTCTCTCTATCTCCACTTTCAAAATATATTTAAAACTCATAACAAACAAACAAAATTCCCCAAGTTGTCCTGAAATTAATTTATTAAATAAACGAAACGAAAAATATAGCCTACTTATGCAAACAACTATCTGAACAATAAACTGGACTGGACTGATAATTCTGCTGCTCTTTGCAAGAAGGGACAGAGCAGACTCTTTCTGCTGAGGAGACTGAGGTCTTTCGGGGTGCAGGGGGCCGTCCCTCCCTACAGGCCGATCATGCAGGCTGCATGGGGCCTCACATTGCGCAGGGGGCCTCGGCTTATGAGCTTAGCTTGTGCGCAGTTCTCAGCGCAGTTCCCCCCCCGCGCTGACACGCGAGAGTGAGAGGTGACAAGGGGAGCACGTCTGTAACCCGACACCGTTGCAATGAATCGACATCTGACCAATCACGGCTTTGATATGGCCACTAGTGCAGGTGAAGAGATGTCGGCGAAAAGACAGTTTCAGTCCGGCGCAAGCAAGAGGGAGTCAAAAACAAAACATGAAGAAACTAGAGCATCACTCGAAGGTGGGTTATTGTATGAGTCAAATGTACAACTTGCGAATGTTGTATAAGTCAAATGTCAAACTTTTGCCAATTGCCATATTAAACACATCAGCTGCAATTCACGACATGAAGAAGGCAGTCTCTGCATAGCATATAGGCTAATGGAGATGCAGTTATTTCCAGCATTCTTTATTTACCATTCATTCAAGTATGTTATGCCTTTTATCTGCTTATGTACAGGAGGAAGAGTGATAAACTGTCTGTCTAGTTGGCTTACATAACAGTTCAAGTTTACAGCCTAAAAAACATGGAGCATTTTTTCCCCTTTTATTCATTTTTATGTCAATTTACACATTTCATGGTGATGCTCAGCCTCTCCCCTTAACTCCTAACAGTCATCATCATGTCAACCACAACACAGAGAAATACTGATAGAAATGTGTGTGTAGTTCAGGGGCGTCGCCTGGACCTGGAAACATTCGGGGCTGAGCCTACAGTGGCGGTGTAGGTACCAGAATCTGTTCGGGGTTCGTTACGCCGCTTACCAATGACGTCACGCATTGGCTGTACAGCAACCCAATAGGACATTTTACATGGCCAAATTCCGCAAAGAATATTACAAAATAACAATAAACAGTACTGTAAACATTATGTAAATAACCCAATTTGTGTTCTGTGAAACTGAAAAGGATATTACAGTGTTTTTTGTTACTTTTCGTTGGCTGTTGACAGGAAGTTGTTGTTGCTATGGAAACAACATGACGGAGAAAAAAGTAATATCTTCTCCATATAAAGACGTAGAAAGTAAAGAATAACGTGGTGGCCTACCAGATCTGTTACAATGAAGGCTCGATAATCAGCTCACGACATATAGGTGTGTCGTGTGTGTACAGAGTTATAAAGGTTGGTATAAAATCCTTGTTAAATCGGAGAATTAATTCGGGTTACGCCAGAGGTGGCGATATATGCTCCAAGTGGAAGCGATTCGCCATTAAATAAAAGAAGAAGAAGAAGAATTACGCCATCTGGTGTCACAAACAAACGTGTGCCTGCATTAGCTTTGTTACGGCAATGGATTGTGGGAGATTCTCATAACATGTGAGGATCTCTCGAGGGTAAGGTGCCTGTATTATTTTGGTGGACAAAATGTATGTTTTTATTTTATAAGGACTATAACGTTTTGTTGTGTTTGTTTAGTTTAATGTTAATCGTTTAATGCTCACACAGCAGCATGTTTTTTGTGTGTTTGGCTATTGGTTTTATATGATTTATCAACGTGATCATCAATAGCTAATCTGAGCTAATAAGCTAATGGGAGAGCTGCTCCACACGATGCCTCGACTACAAAGTCTTCCATGTTTCTACGCTT